CAAATCCTATGACTTATCGACAGGTTCTTCATCAAATCAAAACAAAAATGGAAAATATTTAATAACTCTTGAAATATGCTAATGTTTTTATCTGTTCATTGGATGTCGTGTGATTATTACCAAATCGTGTTTAGAACAATAAGCAATATATGATGGTTATGATCGTTATATGTGATATAGTATGGTTTATATGTGTGATTGTAATGTCTCTTGGTTGAAATTGAATATGTAAAATTAGTTTACCAGTGTTCAATGTAATTCCCCATAACGATGTGTTTCATATAATCACAATAATTACGAAATTCTTCGTTCATTTAATGCTTACATAGTTAACCTTGAGTGAAGAAAGAAATAATTTTCAACATTTAAATGTTGACAAAATAGTACCATATCACATAGGTATTAGTTACATGTAAGAGCCAACGGACGAGGCTTTAGGCTTAAATAAATATGAAAATGTTAAAATGTTGTTATAGCCGACACGTATTTGACATTATACGTATGATGGATTATATAATATAATCTTATCATAAAATTGATATAGCATCATTTTATAGCATTAAGTGATATATAAGTATTATTTTATAAAACAACCAATTTTCAGTTAAAACCTTATTATCATAGAGTGTTAGATTAATGTGACATGATTAACTCTACCATTATCAAACCTGGTGTAGCTAGTAACATTTACATTTAAATTTTTAAGAATCTAGAATACCATTTAGCATGATAATCACAAATTTAAATCTCCTAAAACATGTAGCTTTGGTTACTATAAAGTCAGATTACAATCATAATCAATGTTGCGTGATTTCAGAGTCTGTAAACGTAGATTTTAGGTCATAATTATAATTAATTGGTTTTACTAACCTGAACAGTTCCAAGTCCAACATAATGACAGAAATCTTGGCCATTAAGGAACCGCATTCTCGGGACTTTGTGTTTGGTGGCCGCCATGTTGACCGACTACGAATTACATAGAACAGTAATTGTAATAGAGTACCTGTTCCCGGTGTTAAATACTCTGTGTATTTGATCAGTATTAAAGGTATGTATTGTTTTCGTGACCGATTAGTCGTAACGAGGTCCTTACCTAAACAAAACGTTAATATAACCATGACTAAAATTATTGTTTTTTTATTTGCACCTAGTTCAAAGCTAACGTTCCTATTTAAGAGTGTCAAAAATCATATAACACACGTTATTATGACAATGAATTCCGTGAATCATTTCAACGTCTGTGATGTGACTTTTTGTGATAAAACTGTCAATTCTCTCTATTTTCATCACCATGAATATTAGACTTGATATTGTGCTTTATTCATCTTCTGTTAGAAAGTGTAAATGTTAGCTCTATGGAGACTTCCTGATCGTAAGCTTCTTTCAAAGTATCGTCATTTACCTATAAGTTATTATAATGGTATCTTATCTAGTTATCAATATCCAATCTGATACAGGACGCGTAAATTTAAAACATAAAAATTTGATACCAACTGACATGAACGTAAGATGATTTGGTTATTAAATTACGACTCTTATTTAGCACAATAAAGTAAAATAAATGTTTGACTTTCATATAAATGTGAATTAACATTCCAATCAGAAATTTACATCGAATAGTGACGTAGATGACAAATTTACCATTGCTCGTGATTTTTCACATCTCATATAAAAAAGTGTATATGTGGAAATACAGGCCGTTATGATGATCTATTTTACAATTGTTCCTGATCATCACTTTTTTGTCATCGAAGTTACAGAACATCAGTGCCGAGTTCTTTACGAGATTAATTCATTTTCAATAGCAATTTGAAAAAAAAAGAAATTAAATCCGGATGTAGAATACTATATCAGTTGCAACAATATGTGGTATTTTGGAACCAGAAACCATGTTTTTTCCGGTTTCTTAAGATGTATTAGCTATATCAGAAATCATTCCAACCCCAAAATGATTCATTAAAGTCCATCTTTACTAATTTTGACATCTCACATATTTTGTAAAAAAAATCACACAAGAAAAAAAAAACATTCAACACATATGTAAATTAAGAATTAAGATACAGCAAAACGAAATGATGAATTAAAATATTTTATACGTTTGTGTCGTCCTTCGTGTCTTTGGTGCTAAGGAACTAGTTTTTTAAATCGCATATATCTGATGGGTTCAAAGGAACATCAAGTACATGGTACATGTTTATTATACTCTGAATCTTATTGCTATTGGATTGAAGTAAACTTATTCATTAGGACAAATCTCAGGGATTAAAACTGTTTTCTGTAAGATGAGTTGACATTCTATTCCGTAGATAAACAGTACTTAAGATATCAAGTAGTGCTTAGATAATGTTATCCTTCACCTATTATTATTTCGTGGACATATAAAATTACCAAAGAAATCAGCGGAAATAAATCCCCAACGAAATTAATTATTTTACAGTAGGTGTCATCGAAATGGAGTAAAAGACAATTTAGTAAGTATCGTGATAACAATGCAAATATAAATTACCAATTTTTATTGATCTGTACATAGTTATATCACGTCATATATAAACTGTTAATTGTTTATTGATCTGTACATAGTTATATCACGTCATATATATACTGTTAATTGTTTATTGATCTGTACATCGTTATATTACGTCATATATATACTGTTAATTGTTTATTGGTCTGTACATACAATGTAGTTATATCCACGTCATATATAAATTGTTAATTATTTATTGATCTGTATATAGGTATATTCACGTCATACTAAGTATATAAATTGTTAAATGTTTATTTATCTGTACATAGTTATATCCATAACATGTATAAATTGTTAATTCATTATTAACTTGTACATATTCATCTTTGGTCTTTTCCTCACTGGATTTACAGATGATTCCAAACATGACTAAAAAATCGAGTCCTTTTAAAAATAGATAAAGATATATATTTTGGGCTGGGGAGGGTGGGGCTGTATACTGTATCAATATATATTATATATATACATAACTTTTAGGATTTCATAATCTGCTACCAGTTTGTTTTTATATGCAGCAAATTTTGGATCACAGTCCAACAAGAATGTTTAGAAAATAATGGCAATGAAAAAGATAAATCATTAATTCTTTTAGTGTATCAGTAACCTGTTAAACCACGTATGAATAACACTGTATTGAGCGTCACAAACTATTTTAATGTTACAGGTAACTTTAACTATATACAAACGTTCGATCAAACCTTAATGACACTAATTTCCTCTTCACACAAGGCAAAGTAAAAAGCTGTAATAAAAAGTTGACTGTTTAGAACATTAATGCGATAATTAATATCTGAATATTTGATGATATACAATGTGTAGTTTTTGCGAAAGACAATATTGGACAGGAAAATCGAATTTAACTGCAAGATTATAATAAAATGTTTAAAGCATGCTTCAAAATTAATTTCATAAGTACTATAAATTCAATAACAAATTTGAGTTACCTCCCTTCGACTGTTTTAACATATTTGATCAATGTAATGTTATACAGGGTAAGTATTGCATTTATGTACTTAATTTTGAAAGGGATTACATAGTAATAGCCTGTACTATGACCCTATAGTTAATAAAATTGGCTGAAATCGAAACAACACCAGTAAGAAGCAATTTTGAATTGATGGGATTTATTCTTTATTTCTTTATGTTTCTATTACTCTAAATCTTTATTCCTTCTGACTTGAGTCATATGGAGTTTCTAACTAGCACCGGTCATCAAATAATGTCTTTAAGGATTTGTTTTTCAAAAATCTTTTAAAAGACTTGTATCATGCTCAGAAACTGTACGTGATTGATTTTATCAGCTACAAAGTTAACATTAAACGACAGGAAATACGGACACCTACAGGGACTCAAAAAAGGTTATCACAAGGAATTGCCATGGATTTTACGATGTCTTACCGCACAGCAACTTTTTGTTTGTGATCCAATAGATATTCAGTCAGTTAGTTTTGTTTGGATGTGTGCTCTGGTTTATGCGGCATGATGTTGAAAGCATTTATCAGACAATTCATGACTATTACGCGATATTGTTTTGTTGAACTGATGCTTACATGATGCTTATTTGTGTCTCCTGTAAAATTGTCAAAAACAGACTTACGAGGTATTGACTGTTGTATTACATGTATTATATAAAATTGCACGGGTGATATAACACGGGTGATAACACAAGTGTGATATTACACAGGATATATTACACACTATATAACATATTAATCAGTATCTTAACAGTCAGGTTATTTTAGAAGGATATCGTGTACATTGAAAATGAGTTACAGATTGTGCAAAAGACACACATGTGAATAACACCATTTAATATAAATTTAGAATAGAGATTGTGGCGTCGAACAATGTATTAAACGTCGTCCCGTTAGGACTCGTCATACTAAGGGCCTAAACTTTAAACTAGGAGACGACTGAGAAAATTCAAAGTGATCGAAAGAAATGTCAAAATCTATACGAGGAGGTATACTCGCCCCATCATTCAGTAATTCTTTGTAATTTTCATAAATCTGATAATTTAAAAACAACATCAATTACATGTGTTTATTCTGAATCGTGGCAGCATTCGACCTTCGTTAATGAACTCCTCATTTACCACGTATTTGTTTCTACATTTGTGAATTACCCTGTAACAATACCAATATATATGGTACCAAAGGAAATTATCACTAATTAAGTAATATGTTCTCACCCTCATAGGTAGAGGCCAGTGTATGATATAGAGATCTATGTATTCTAGACCGAGGTTGGTTAGGGATTCCTGACATTCCTCTGGTATCCGGCCTTTGCTGTGGTATGTATTCTTCCATACCTGAACTGTGAAATTCTTTTCGTAAAACTTCAAAGACACATTAAAATACGAAGACCTTTTGATACCGAGTAAAATTGTAAACATTTGTATTAACGCTCGTACGCTATTACACTGGAAAGAAGGTTGCCATTTTTTGTTAGTTTGGTTAAATGGAAGTTATTAATCTTCCGTCAATATTGATGGCGAAATCAATGTTTAAAACTTTCTTAAAATGATCAAGGAATTATGACCAGGTAAGAACAAGGTTCAATTTAACAAAATAGTTACAGCATAATCATAACTTAATATGTAAAGAGGACGGACATCTTATGTTTATACATTTTTGTCTCCTATAGAACATTGATATGGCTAATCAGAGTCGTTTTTAAAAACTAACTAGAACGTGACTTTACACCGGTTTGTTTAGTTAGTCAGTTTGTGATCTTAATTTCTTTCTGTTATAAAAGAAAAAAACGTGAAATCGTGTTTATATCATCGCAAAGTGTGTCTGTAGGGTGATTGACAAATCCGCCTTCAATAGCTTCTTTAATTGCTACTCCCATTTCCTTTTCGTTCCCATAGGTAAGGGCACAATCAAAATGGTGGTACCCCAGCCTAATGGCAGTTTTCACTGCAGCTCCGACCTCTTCTGGTTTTGAATGAAAACCATGAAATTATCAACGATGTACATAACCTGATTATATTCATGCACGTATGAGGGCATTTGTAAACAATTATCTTCCTTTACCATAAGTTTAAGTTCAGGTTCGTGTCTTATAGCATAATTCAATGATATTACTACATGTATATACAGTTTGATTATTGAGGTTAAACCTATTTTTCCTGAAAATTAACGTTATCAGAATGTGGTTTGTCAGAGTCATGTATATCTAACGTGTAACAAAAACATATAAATCAGCTGAAGCACAAAACAGATAACAGGTTGTTGGTACTCTGTATTACAGATAACCGTGTTTGGTTTCTTACCTGTGCAGCAGGACATATGGCCATTAGCTTACAAGACCACTTTTCAACACATTATCTCAAAATAGATAACCACGCACTAATGTCTATAGATCGTATTCACAAATGTAAAACTACTTTAAATGTACTAACTTTGGCACAATAAAATCTTAGCGA